ACTTTGCAGGTCTAAGAACACCAGCTTGTGCATACTGCTCCTCCACAGCCCATACTACAAATTTTTGTCCCAAAACGGCGGACGAACATGCCTCCACACAAGGAGCTAGTTCCTCTGGGGTTCCAGAGAAGTTGTCAAGAGACAAACTGGGACGCCCAATCAAGTTTCTGGGCAAGTCCCAGATATGTAATAATTTTAATGTTGTGTCTTGTAATTACAGTGGATGTAGACTATTGCATGTCTGTTCAAAATGTTTTAGGGCACATGCAAAGACCATGTGTCCAAATAAAATGTATTCCAAGCCTTACCTAACGTCCATTAATATGCCAGTATTCACGGCATTTATGTCTCAGCACCCATCTAGACACCTAGTAGACTTTCTCATCTCTGGTTTAACAGAAGGCTTCCATACAGGTATCCTACACATACCAGCAGGAACTCTGGTATGCCCTAATCTACAATCCGCCCAACACAACCCCACAGCGGTTGACACCCTCATAGCCCAAGAAGTAGATGAGGGTTTCGTATTGGGGCCTTTCAAAACTCCTCCATTCATAGAATGGTGCACCAACCCCATTGGTATTGTCACAGGGAAATCTTCCCAAAAACAGAGACTCATCATTGACTTATCAGCACCCCACTCATCGCCCAACCCCAGTCTTAATTCCCTCATACCCTCTGAGGAATTCTCTCTGCAATACACCACCATAGACCACGCCATTACCGCTATCATACAAACAGGGGTTGGAGCCTGGCTCAGTAAGACCGACATTACAAGCGCCTTTAAATTACTACCAATCCACCCCACACTGTGGCACCTGCATGGCATCAAGTGGTCAGGGAACTACTATTTTTTCTCCCGTTTAACTTTTGAGTCCAAAAGTAGCACAGCTATTTTCGACACATTTGCCGAAGCATTATGCTGGTTACTATTGAACATAGCCAGATGCCCTACGGTATTACATTACATGGACGATTTCCTACTGATCGAGGAGAATACTTCACCTCCTACTAGTCTCAAAGTTACCACTAAGCTATTTGAGCAACTAGGTGTACCTATCTCCCCAAAGAAAACAGAGGGGCCAGACACGGTTATCACTTTTCTGGGTATCCAACTAGACTCCGCCACAATGCAAGCGAGCCTACCACACGATAAGATAGAGAATATTCTGACTTACATAAACAGCTACCTTCGGCTCGGTACTTGCAACCGCAAAGAGCTACAGTCCCTAAATTTTGCTATGCGCATCATACCTCAAGGCCGCTCCTTTATTTCACGACTATTGCATCTTTTCCCACATTTTCTACATGAAACGCACAGGTTGTCCTTAGATACCCAAGCTACGGCAGATCTAAACACGTGGAAGAGATTTTTTAACCACTTGGAATGGTAAAAGTATGTTCCTCTCTCAATTGACTGACTCATCTCCTACCATTTGGTCAGATGCAGCATCTACCACTGGCTTTGCAGCAATTTTTGGGAACGAATGGCTTTGGGGCAGCTGGCCTTCAGCAGTTCAGGATTTGGAAGGTTTTTCCACTACCTCAGCTCTTTTTGAGATCTATGCCATCGTAGCGGCTGCCGTAGCAGGGGGTCACAGCCCCACAGCCACCATCACTCCAACATTTCAACAACTCATACTGGACTAGACACCATCATGCAGCATAGCAGGACATTGTCCCAACTGGCACTTTCAAACAACACACACAAAACATACAACAGGGCTTTCACACTATTCAAACGATTCCTTTTGGAACATAACATCATGCAACCATTTGTTATGACATCTTTTTGGGGGTTTGCTTCCTTTTGCCACCTTAAACTCAAAATGTCATACAACACCATCAAACTCTATCTCACTGGCATTCAACACCACATGCTAATCTTACACCCAAATAGCAACAGTTTCATGGCCTCTTACCAAATTAAGACCATACTCAGAGGTATTCAGAAATCAGAACCCACACATCCAACCCAGAGGCTACCCATAGATAACCATATCTTCATAGCATTGTCTAACCTGCTTGACTTAAAACCGTTTGACACCAATACAAATTCTGTCATCAAAACAGCAATATACATCGCTTTCTATGGATTTCTACAACCTCCGCGAATCAAACTACTCCGTTCCTCCTCTATTACCACTTGACAAAACATATGGATCATTACATCCTGACTTTACCTCACTCCAAAACCAGTCAGCACATACCCGTAAACATACCGTACTATCCCACGCACAACAGATGGTGTCCCGTCAGGGTTCTTGATGCCTACATACAGCATCATAACTTACTGCCCTCACAACCATTACTACAGCTACAAGGTACAGTACTCACCACTACAACCTCCATGACCTACGTCAGGTTCTTGCTCACACAACTGGGCCTCAACGCAGCCAAATACTCAGGGCACTCCTTTCGTATAGGAGCCGCGTCCACAGCCTCCAGTGTCAACATCTCAACTCAAGTTATCAAAACACTGGGGCGCTGGAAGTCATCTGCTTACTCACGGTACATACCGAACCCAGTACAAGAATTATGGGATGCTTTCAAAAACATGTCTGGTTGATAAATGTATATGTATTGGTTGTCTGTAATAAATTTGATTACTTAATTTTTGCCCTCTTCTTTCTCAGGCCTACCTCATCGTCGGTTTCGGCACACCACAACCGACTCTTTACTATCCTACATTTATTTATGGTATTTCACACTGTACTATGATAAGCACCTAACACAAGTATTAAGGCAATATGCCTGGATTTGTGGGAGGTGCTGGTTTGCTACCCCTAGCCTACTTAAGGCACTCCCCTTACCTGGCTCCTTACCGTTCGAGGTCAGCGTTGAATGACCCTCCCACCACACCACATTTTAACATTTATTTTCTATTTTCTTTCCCTGGGTAGGCCCTCTTCTTTCTCAGGCCTACCTCATCGTCGGTTCTGGCACACCACAACCGACTTGCTCTTTTTACTATCCTACATTTATTTATGGTATTTCACACTGTACTATCATAAGCACCTAACACAAATATATATATATATATATATATATATATATATATATACACACACACACACAAACACACACTTTTATTTCCTATATGTATAATATATTATAAAATAATTAAGACATTTTATAATAAAGTATACATATATAATGCATATATATAATTTCATGTGTATATATCTCAAAGTACACGTGTAATGCAATCATATATATGCATTATATATGCATATTATAAAATGCTTTAATTATTTTATAATATATTATACATATATAATATATTTATTTTATTATTATTATTTTTTTTACACTTTTAACTGGCTGGGGGGCTGCCTGTGATCATGGTGATTACATGGCCCTGTAGGGCCTAAGAGGCCAGAACTGCTGCAGGTGGACTGCTGGGCTCTCAGGAGGTCCTCGCCGACCGAGATCGCCGGTCCAGGTAAGTAAATGGGTCCCTATTTACCGCGGACGTACCAGGTACATCAGAGGTTGTTAACCGTTTTTTTGTCAGACGCATCTGGTACGTCCGGAGTCAGAAAGGGGTTAACATGAAATATTTAAGTTAATATACCAGAGGTTAATTATCCCGTTATACTTTATATACTTCATACAAAGGACTACACATGAAAAAAGCTCAACGAGCCATAATGTAGCAATTGTTAAAAGTTGTTTGATTATTTTACATAGAATGGTAGTGTTTCTTTGTAAAATACCCACGCTTTCTTTTTTGAGCAATGTATTCTTTAGATGAATAACAGGGTATAAAACTTAATAATAATATTAATAATACAGCATTAATTTTCTGATCATATCTCTGTTACAATCACATTTCTCCATATACAACCTGCAATTAAAGAGCAATCATTGTTTTAACCTCAGTCAAACACTAGCATACCATATTTTCTGTGTCAAAGATATATTATTACTGGTTGTCTTCAAAGCCCTTGAATAATTATATACTATGGTTGAACCATTTCATGTATCCTGGCTCGGCAGTTTGCAAGAATTCATAGATCTACTGCGTCTGCTTTTTTTATGACTGACATAGCAATACGCAGATTGTTCCGATATTTATGCTGTCTGTGGCTTAGCAAGATAATTAAAGGATATAAATTAATCAAGTGCAATTAATTAGAAACTTTATGTTCACAGCAGTCCTCCTTTGCATGTATAATTTATATTTATTGATTTCTGGCGTTCATTAGCCTATGAGATAACAGCACAAATGCATTAGAGGAGAAAATGCACAATTAGCGTAAGGGTGAACTGTGGCATAATTGATATATCAGAACATGTTTGGGGTAAATATAGAGGTTTGTTATCTGTCATAAGCAGTTAGAATGAATGAGCTGTTTTTTTTTACATATCTCTGCTGATTAATGACTAAGTATAAAGAGCCCTCTTAATGGAAAGCTGATCGGGTAGCTGAATTTACATTTTAATCAGAATATTTATGACAGAGAAATCCACTAGCAGAGAACTGTCTTATACTGTATAATGGAATTTAAAAGCATCTTCATGACATGCATTGTACAAGATGCAGTAAGGTGCAAAAGAAATCACAGTGATCTATATTTAATTGGAAGGAATCTCAATAATTCAGATCTTTCAGAATGTAGTCAACACACCTCCCAAAAAATATTTTAACTATCTTTATTAAAAATATGTACAATTTATACTTGAATCAAGATCCTACCATTGTGCATTTGTAGCTTAATTTCCATATGAAAATTGAAGATTGTTTTGTTACACCTTCCAAGGATGAAGCAATAGAATGCACATACTAAACTTGAATACCACTGATAGGTAGGACAACCTAAATAAATTCCTAAGACCTATGACTTTTCATTTTGAACTGATCATCCCCATGTATTTTTTATGTTATTGATCCAGTCTTTAAAGAGGCAATTGAAGCTCAGTGATATACTTCCTAGAGCATGGATAGGCAAACTAGATGTTGTAGACTACATATCACATAATGGTCTAACAGCCATTATGCTGGCAATTGCAGGAATCTCAAACCATTCACTTTTCAAACTACTTGATACAAAGGCATTTACATTATGAAAATCAATGTTGTCCAACTTGGATGGCAATCATAAACTCAGAACATTGGGGTCTAGTTAGAATCCCATATTAGATGGAATCCCTTACATCGTCTGTATGCAACACCTTTAAACCTTTTCTAATTTTCATTCACAAACTCAGTGGATCATGCTACATTTTGACCAGACAAGGTATTTGTCAAGACTTTTTACTTAAAGCAGATGGTGTGCACTGTTTATAAAAATGTACAGAAGATCAAGTCAAGATCAGCTCAGACAACCTTAAGCAAGAACAATGACTGCTAACCAGTTCCTTGGTATATTTTACGCTGAGAGTATAACACTTAGATAGTACTTTGATAGACATGCAAGATTAGAGAGGCTCTCCACTTCTTAAATAAAAAAAAGCACTGTTTAGTAGCTATACATCCCAAAAAACATGCACATATTTAGTTTTGCACTTTTTTTTCATTGAGGATATAGCTACAAAAAGCTTGTGGTGGCTGTATTTCATCTGTAAACTTTGCAAGCCCTCCTCCTCTAAAACCACCAAGACCATCTGTGGCTGTCCTATTGTACCCTTCCCAAAGCAGCTTATTCAGAAGTCCTTCTAAGGCAGGTGCTCTGAGCAATCATCTACCTTTTGAGTTTAGCTTCACTGAGCTGAAAAAACGAGGAAGTAACAGACAGGACCAGTTGACTGGCAGCCGGTGGGGGAGGGAGGGGTATAAAATAAACAATATCTATTTTAAAAAATCTGCACTCTTTGTATGATGAAAAAAAAGAGAACAATCTTCACACTTAAAGCACTTTGGCAAACTAAAATTCTTTAGGGGTCATTGCTTGCTAGAAAACAAATGCTACAAAGTATTCAGTTTAAAATATTTACTATTAACAATGCAACCTAAAACTGAACATTAAATGCTTTTTTGTATGTAGTACATTGGTTTCACTGCACCAACACAAAATCATGGTGTAATAAAAAGATTGAAGTATAGAATTTAAAATGTATTTCTTAATAAATCATAATTTAAAATTTGTGTTATACACTTTGGAGTATCATATTTTATATCATCATTTGGTTTAATGAGATATCTCTATAATAATCTCCATCCTTTATCATAACTATATACAACAACTTGACTTTACTGCTATAACTTTAGTAAATAAATAGGTACAATTAACACATGCATTTGGGGCCAGGTGAGCTACAACATTTATCAAGATACATAGCAGTGTTAGCTCAGACAACTTTTCCACTCCCTAGATTCCAGCACTTGTTCAAAACCTCTTTAAAGAAGTACCGACGACATGCAAATCTTAGACTTGTGAGTTATTAATAAAATCATAATAAAGGATAAATATATTTTGATTTACTTTTCTTTAGCTGCATTAGTTGCCATCAAATAATAATGTACAAATCTGTGAAAAGTGTATGTTTTTCAAAAGCTTCCTTTCCTGATGCTCCTCACTTACCAACCGGGTTTCGTTCTTACAACTAGGTATTAGTCGGTAAGTGAGAATGAGATACAGAGCATGTGCACCAGTGCAGCTCTATGTTAAGGGAAATTTCCCTCAAACATAGACAAGTGCACCAGAGCAGGGAATCCCTAAATCTTTGTTCGAGGACATTTCCCTAAACATAGACAAATGCACTAGAGCAGGTAATCCCTCTAATCTATGTTCGGGGAATGTTCCCCAAATATAGATTTGAGGGATTTCTTGCTCTGGTGCACTTGTCTATGTTCTTTTCCATATATAGACCAGCTCTCTAACATGGGGAATGCCTTGAATCCCCGCACTGGAGACCTGGTCATAAGTCTGAATCGTTGTTAAACAGGTCAATCGTAAAGTGAGGACTACCTGTGTTTCCATGTGTTTGCACACTAAATGAGCAAGAGACAAGCAATGAGCAAAGACCTAGCAATAATGTAAAAAATGGTCTTGCCTTTAAAGGACTACAACTAGCACCCTAACCAATATAGTACACTGCAGTCTTTTTGGTGCCAGGAGTGCCCTGGCGCCATCCCACAGTAACATTACCAAAGATGACCAAGGGGACCACACTCCATTCCAAATGACCACCGGGTGCTTAATTGAAGTGGGACCAGCAAATTCAAGATGTAATATCCAAGTGTAATAATACAAAGGATGATATTCAGGAACGTGTTCAAACAGCAAGCAATTTTATCGGATCAAAAATAGTGACAGAACAATGTTTTGAACTCCTACAAGGTCTTTGTCATGCTCAAGTTTGACAAATACCTTTTAGAAGGTCAAAACGTTGCTCTGTTACTACTTTTGTTCCAATAAAACTGCTTGCTGTTTAAACATGGTCAGTGCCTGAAGACCTTCCTTTGTATTATCCCACGTTTTAGTATGGGTCCCTTAAAGCTCCTATAACAGCATAGCCTTTAACTAGTTTACTCCAAGAGGAAAATCCAGATTGCATTAGAGAATAAAGCAGAGCCAAGCAGGACTGTGATCACTGGCAGAGAGCTTCAAAAGTGCACACCACCACAAAAAAAAAAAAAAAAAAGTGTTACATCAAACATCCATATTCATATCCAGGCATAGAAAATAACTTCAGATCAGCAGCAAAAAAAAGAGTGCTAACTAAGCATAGGGATAAAGGAATGACATACCACACGCCAAATTAGCTAAGCATGTTTTGTGTCTTCAAGAGATGCTTTTTCAATAGATAAACTGTCATACCACGATAAAACAGTTTGACATCTTATCATAGGATGGCACCAGAGAACCAGTGGCATATCTACCATGAGGGCCACTTGGAAACCTTCTGGGCCGGTCCGCCATTACCGGATGTCTGGCAAGACGGGAGAGCTATGCTGCTCCACTCCTGCCTATGTGCAGCATGGCTGAACGGTCTGACAGGAAGTGTTCACTGTGAGAGCACTTCCTGTCAGACCAGGAAACGCAACAAGAAGCAGGTTCAGATGAGGGGAGGGAGGGAGGGCATGGGACACAGGGAGGGGATTGGGGAAATAGTGAGGGTATGAGACAAATGGAAGGGAGGGGGAGGGAGGAGGAGAGAGGGAGGCTATGGGATAAATTAAGGAAAGGGGGAGATAGGGAAGAATGAGACAAATGGAGGGGAGAAAGGAGGGAGAGCGGGAGGAATGGGACAGATAGAGGGGAGAGGGGAAAGAGGGAGGAATGGGGCACAATGAAGGGAGGGGGTAAAGAGGGAGGAATGGGACATATAGTCCCACTCCTTCAAAAAATCGTTAAAAACACACTTCTTCATAAAAGCGTATGAATTAAACTGTTAATAACTACTGACTGATTCCTCTTCTGCAACTGTCACTAGTCTAATACTATCCTTACCTTTTTGTGTCATTTTACCCCACTCCCTCTAGTATGTAAGCTCATTGAGCAGGGCCCTCAATCCCTCTGTTCCTGTGAGTCCAACTTGTCTGGTTACAACTACATGTCTGTTCGTCCACCCATTGTAAAGCGCTGCGGAATTTGACGGCGCTCTATAAATATCATAATAATAATAATAATTATAATAATATAGATGGGAGGGGGAAAGAGGGAGAAATGGGACACATAGAGGGGAGGAGGGTCCCCTGTGACCACGGTAGGTATGCCACTGGGTATGGGACAGAGGGAGTAGAGAGGGAAGAAAGGGACACATGGAGGGGAGGGGGAAGAAAGGGAGGGTATGGGACACATGGAGGGGAGGGGGACAGAGTAAAGAATAAGACACATGGTTGGGAGGGGGGAGAGAGGGAGAAATAGGACACATCAAGAGGAGGGGGGAGAGGGGGATGGGAAACAGGGAGGGGAGGGGGAGAGAGGGATGAATGGGACAGAGGAAGGTGAGGGGCAGCGAGGAAGGAATGGGACACAGGGAAAGTGGAAGAAATGGGACACATGGAGGGGAGGGGGGAGAGAAATGGAACAGGTGGAGGGGGGGAGAGAAATGGGACACATGGAGGCACAGGGAGGGAGGAGGATATGGCAAACATGGATCGGGTTGAGGGGAGAGGGAATGAGACACAAGGAGGGGCTGGGGAAGAAGGGTATGGGACACATGGAGGGGCTGAGGGGGGAGAGTGAATAAGACACATGGAGGGGCTGGGGGGAGGGACTGGGACACATGGAGGGGCTGTGGGGCAGAGGGAATGAGATACATGGAGAGGCTTTGGGGCAGAGGGAATGAGACACATAGAGGGGACTTGGGGCAGAGGGAATGAGACACATGGAGGGGCTTTGGGGTCGAGGGAATGTGACACATGGGGGGCCTGGGCATGGGGATGAGACACATGCAGGAGTTGGGGGGTGGAGGAATGAGACACTGGGGAGGAGGGATGAGACACATGGGAGGGGACAACAGTGCAATTTTTACACTTGGTCCCAGTGGATTCTAGTTACACCTCTGCAGAGAACCCTTGGCATTATGACCACTACTGCAGGCTATAGTGGTTCTGATGCTTGGTGTGTTCCTTTAAAGAGGAACTGCCACTTCTGGGATTTACACTAATGAACCAAATTGAATCAATTACTTTCTTCCCTAAGATTTTCTTTCAAAATTATTTTAATTCAGTTCATGCAAAGCAAAGTCAGTGAAAACATTGCTAATGAAGATGAGAAATAGAAACATTGTTCTGTTCTAACTTCTTTGTGTGTTTTCTAAACTTGGAATTAATTTCAGGCCAAAATGAAATTTGTCCGAATTTGGACCAATTGATAATTAACTGTGTGGCGAAATTAACATCGTCACTTGTGCCTGGAGAGGACTACTTACCAGCCTCTTGCCATGTGATTATGGCCCCTGGGAGGTTTGGCCCTTTAAATACAGTATTTGGATAATGGATTTTTATTGTGCTGCTTCTGGCTCTTTAAGAACCATCTGGGGACATACTGTGACTTATGGGAACAATGCCCCTTTAAGACTGTGTCCCCTGTCCCCTAAAATACTTTGTTTGTGCCCTTTTCCCATTTGGTTCAGTAAATGGGGCTTACTGAACCAAGTACCACACAGGCTGACCACCCAGAAGTGAAGTGTGCAGGCAATTTACCTCCCAGGCTGGAAACCTGCTGTAGGTAAATTGATGACCGCTCAGGGGCCGCAGTTCGTGCAAACGAACACGTGGCGGTGACCATCTTTTTTCAACCGAACGAGGTCAGCGGTATGTGTAACCAA